CTCTGAATTTATTTTTATTCCTTGCTTTTAATATCCTAGTCTAAATTATCATTCGTTTTAATATTTTTTTATATTCTAATATCAAACGACGCGGTAGCGACGTGCTGCCTGCAAGTATATAAAAAAATTCGATATTACATGCAAATATATCTTTGTAAACATTTTTTTAAATTTAAAAATAAATTTAAAAAAAATATATATAAATATACAGTTTAAAAATAAATATAAGATCACAGTTACTCAATCAAATATAAACGGTATGTTAAATTTGCGGATTATTATCTGATCTGATATAAAATTTATCATAAATTATCTTTCTTTTAAGAATGATATCATTTGTAGTCAAACGATTTAGAGTCGGCATTAAAAAGATTTAAGTGACAAAAAACTTGATGTGTTCAGGTCGAGATATTAAAATTTGATATGCAATAATCGTAATAAGCAGTAGCAAACATCTATTGTTTCGAAAAATCTTGTTTATTTGATACCACGAAGACTATAGATAATAATCGATTCCAAAAGATATCGGACAAAATATTAATTTTGTTTTTGTTATTAAAAAATAAAACTGTACAAATACTTTTTGTGTCTTTGAATATATAATTATTTTTTTAGAAATTATCTATGTACTTATAAGGATGGTTTATTTTTCCCATTTTATTTGTTCACAAGTAAGAATTTTATATTATGCGTATGGTTTTAAATAATGCGCATTTTTTTGTCCTTTTATATTAATCGATATTATTTGATTTATTGTTAATTTTAATGTAATTTTACTTCAGTAACTAATTCTTTATTGTAACTTGTAGATTTCAAATTTATTTAGACACTTGATAAGGACTAGAAATTGCTGGTCGAAACGTAGTGTATTACGAATAAATAATTTTTTGGCTGATTGGTCCACATTAAAAAACTTTATTTAATTTGTTTTATTATTTACCGGCGCTTGATTACTTCTTTTTATTTTTTTATTTTATTGTTTAAAGTATAAAATGTTATAATTTATAACATAATTTTGTTGATAAATATGTATAAAAATTTACATCTCACCAATTTAAATGCTATTTAAATATGTTATAGGTGTATTCTAATTCTTCACAAGAATCAAGTGGCGGTCGGCATTAATTTAGGAGATATAATAAATAAAATGTTGACACCAAAATTTGTATGCGATGTAATAATGTTTATTTTTTAGCGAAAAAGTCTCTTTATGATCTTTATAATAGGCAGAGGAGAGGCTGCGTCCTTCCTCCTCCTCCATAATTTAACTCAATTAATATCCGAGGAATAAATTTTATTAATAATAATTCACCTCTTGGAGATAGGTTTGGATTAGATGAGGTGGGGGGTACAGTCCTCTACAAAATCCAATAGTCACATTTCATAAAATCAAAATTTTTTTTTACTTTTGGCCACGTTTTCGGGATTCTGGCCCGCGCTGTACGGTAGCAAACGCTCTTCGTATTCGTTCTTCTAATTCGTCTTGCGTTTCTATGCGGTTAAAATAAATTTTTTCTTTCTGCGCACCCCACAAGAAAAAATCACAAGGATTCAAATCTGGTGATCTTAGTGGCCATTGCCAGAAAGGTGCTCCACGACCCATCCAATTATTTCCATACGTATTATTTAAGTATTCTCGGACAGGTGCTGTTATAGTTAAAACAATAAAATTAATAATTAATTAAAATTAAATAATTAATTAAAACAATTTTAGAACCAGTAATTAATGATATTTATAAAAAATTTCAATTAGAAAATTGAATTAATATAAAATTATTTATGCGAAATAAAATCGATTGAAAAGTATATTTGAATAAATAAAAAATTGTTGTTATTGCATTGATTTACGGTATTTTATGCACTTTTTAGTCAAACATAATTTTAATCTACGAAAAACAATATTATCCGTATAAAATAAAACTTCTTTAAAACAAAAAATTGCGAAAATACAAACATTAAAATAATAGCAAAGCGTCATGTGTTTATTAAAAATCAGAAGTTTAAAAACTCTCAGAAGCTAGTATTTTATGATATAAAAAACATATTGCAAACTAATACTAATAGTTGTAAATTCTTTATAAGTTGTACTAAAAAAATTTAAACTTTGCATTAATTTGTTATTTAATTGAGACCTGAAAATTTTTATTAAAACAAATTATGTTTTCAAATATGTTTAATAATTTATAATAATTGTAACCTGCATTGTACGCTAGACATCCATCATGCATAAAAATGATGTTACGTCGAAATAGCGGCATATCGTCGATAGCAGCGGGAGGAAAAAGTAAATTTGGCAACTCATTACGCAAAAAGTCCAGATAATTTAAACCATTTAATTTTTCTGGCAAGAATACTGGTCCAATCTAAGGATAATTATTTGAAATTCATCATAAATAAATACACATTATGGCTTTATAGAAATTTTTTATATTGACAAAAGCAGAAGTAAAAAAAACGGAATGTTTACAAATGCTAAAATAGTTATCTAAAGGTGCCTTTACATAGGAGCGTCGAGCGTCGAGCGTCGAAAGGTATGAGCATGCGTAGTGATGCCTAGTGATTTGATGCTGAAACGCAGGATCAATTAGAGCAGTCAGTTGATTATTACTGTCATTTAAATTGCGAAACATTAAAAAAATGTCGATTAATTATCGTTATCATCAATGGTTGTTAGAATGCAATAGCATTATCAATCATGAATATAACGAACAAAGAAAAGTTGAATTAATTGCAGCGATACCAGCAATAGTCAATATAATAAATGCAAACAATAAAAAGAAGAGGAAATTCTGGGTGTCAAAAAATATTTGCCGAAAGGCAGAGACACGGATTGTATCACGCAACATTGCCCAATGTAAGGCTGGAAGATCTGCGTTTTAGAAATTTTACAAGAATGACTACGATATAATTGGAAGATTTGTTGTTAATAGTAGGACATGATTTAAAGAAACTTTATGTTGTGCGTGAACCTATAAATGAAGAGCAACGTTTATTAGTTACTTTAAGGCATGTATACTTGTAAACTTAAACTATATTATTGTAATAATGTGTGATAACAAAAAATCTCTCTGACAATGTAAAATAGCAAAGTATATATTATATATTTCTTATACTCATTAATAGATATCTCGCCTCAGGAGACAGTATGACATCTTTGTCATATCAATTTTTAATATCTGTAAGTAGTATTTCAAATATTATACGTGAAACATGTTCTGTCTTATGGGAGCGTTTATATCCTATTATACTTGCACAATGTGACACAAATGACTGGAAAGAAATTGCAAATGACTTTGATAATAAATGGCAATTCCCTCATTGTATTGGTGCAATTGATGGAAAACACGTCATTATTCAAGTAATTCTTAAAATGACAAAAATATGTAAATGAATATATATATAACTCAAACTGAAGCAGTTTAATTTTACTTAATATTATTTCAGTGTCCTGACAACGCAGGATCAGAATATTATAATTATAAAGACAGTCACAGCATTATTTTACTCGCAATAAGTGATGCAAATTACATCATACGCTGTGTAGACATTGATGCTCCTGGAAGACAGGGTGATGCAGGCGTTTTTAAGAATAGTGCTATGGGCTTATTATTAGAAAGAAAAGAATTAAATATTCCACCTCCTGAAGCACTATATGACAACGGTCCAATTTTGCCATATGTATTGGTAGGAGACGAGGCATTTCCTTTAACAGAATATATGATGCGACCATATCCAGGAAAAAATGGAATGACATTAGAGAAACGGATATACAATTATCGTTTATCTCGAGCTCGTCGAACAGTCGAAAATGTGTTCGGTATCTTAGCTAATCAATGGCGCCTTCTAAGACGACCAATTATAGCGAACATTTCAAAGGCAATAAAAATGGTTCAAGCAATAATTTGTCTTCATAATTGGCTGAGAAAGCGTGATGTTGAGCGAGAAACGTATATAACACAGGATCTTGCAGATCGATCTGTATTAGACGGAGACATTGAAGATGGCTCTTGGAGAAACAATGTTAACGATTATCAAGGATTTATGGATATATGTACTCAAGCGAGAGCATATTCGTTACGCGCAGCTCACATTTGAGAAGAATTTTGCAGATATTTCAATGAAGAAGGAGAAGTAGGTTGGCAAAACATTCAAATATACAAATGAAGCAAATGTAAATGTATTATATAATGTATTATGTAAATGTATTATATCATTTGTACTTTTGAATCAGCCTAAAGGTAATATTGCGGTAACTGATGTGTACGGGTTGTACGTAAGTTGAATTATCGGGCGTGTGCCCGTCGTATGTTGTCGTGGAATGAGTGCTTCACGAATATACGACCGAGAATGTTTCTCTCTCACTTGCTTATATTTATTGAAAAACTCAGAAGGTAGTGACCGCACTCGAGATACAAAGTATAAATGCTTTAATTGAAATACAGCGTATAATGGTATACAATAGCGGTTAAGTCGGCCGCACGTGTGTCTCTCGTTGTCTCTGAGACGATTCTGATTCGTATTAGCGGGGACCGCGCACGATGGGTCGCGATCGGCAACGGAAGCCTCCGAAGGCAACGACGAAGGACCTGACATATATATGTGCGGGTACCCGAATTCGAGCGGGTAGATTGACCGGGCGATACGCGTAAATAGTTTATTGAATACCAAACAAACGCCGCCCGCCTTGAAAGAATGCGCTTTCAAAATGAATAGAAGAAAGAATGAGCCGCAAGGCAAACATATAAGACTTATCAGTACAATAAAATAAAGATAATAACGCAACAGAATATAAACCATGACTGATAACACTTCGTGAGTTTAGTACTCTTATAAATAGTGATTACATAGTCCTATAAACTATAATAATATATATTTGTTTGCAAATTAAACTAAATTACTATAGAAAGGAAGACATGAATATAAATTTTCCTATGATATATCTTAATAGCTAAATATTCGCGTCGTGACTATTACGTGAGATTGCATCTTAGTTGCGTATATTAGTTATCCGTCGGTTGGATTTCTGAGGGTAATATCGCGAGCTTCGACAATGGTCTAACATAAGTACCCTTGGTGGTTTTTATAGTTGCAGTTCGTACTACATTGTCGGATCCGGGATGAATCTCTAAGACGCGACCTATAGCCCATTGTAGAGGGGGTAGATTTTGTTGTTTTACAAGTACGAGCTGATTGACGCGTAGTTGAATGCCCGAATTTTGTTTCCATTTCGACCTTTCCTGCAACGAGCCTAAGTACTCGCTACTCCCCATCTGCGCCAAAAGTGCTGTCGAAGTTGCTCCACGCGTTGCCATCGTAGGAGCCTATTCTCATTGATCTCGCTAAAGTCTCTGCAAGGAAAACTATTTAGTGCTGTACCAACCAGAAAGTGACCCGGACTAAGATAATACAAGTCGTTGGGATCCTCGCTTAGTGGCGTAATAGGGCGCGAATTTAATATAGCTTCTATCTCAGACAATACAGTCTGCAGTTCTTCAAAATTTAAATGGGCTTGACCCACAATTCTAGTCAAGTGATGTTTGGCGGATTTTACCGCCGCTTCCCATAAACCGCCAAAATGAGGAGCGTTGGGCGGAATGAATTCCCAGCAAATGCCCTCGTTGGCACAGAATTGATTGAGATCGGACTGCGTTTCTTGTTTGTTATAAAATTCGTATAGTTCCTTGATTTGCTTTTTTGCCCCGACGAAGGTGGTCCCATTATCCGAGTACATGTGGGTCGGTTTCCCTCTTCGCGCGATGAAACGTTTGAATGCACCAAGAAAACAGTCTGTCGTTAAATTGCTTACGACTTCGATGTGCGCGGCTTTAGTGGCAAAGCATACGAAAATGGCTATGTAGGCCTTATGATTGCGAGAGTTGCGCCTGTTTCCTTCGCGTATTGTGACTGGACCGGCATAGTCTATCCCACAATGCGCGAACGGTCTAGATGGGGTGACTCGACCGGCGGGTAATGATCCCATTAAGGCTTCCGAGAATCGCGGTTTTGCCTTAAAACAAGTTACGCATTCTTGTATGATCTTTCGCGCTACGGATCTTAGCGAAAGTGGCCAGAAACGTTGCCGGACGGCGGCCATAGTACCTTGCGTTCCGGCGTGCATATTCCGAATATGCTCTTGTCTAATTATTTTTTGTGTTAAATCGTGATTGCGCGGCAGCAAAATGGGATGGCATGCGTCAAAATCTAGGTTTGAGTTTTTAAGCCTACCGCCCACCCGGATTAGGTCATCTTTATCCATGAAAGGAGTTAACGGCAATAGACGGCTGCCTGCATTAATGGTTGTTCCTAATTTTAATGCTTCGTATTCTTTAGAGAAGACTTGTTTTTGTACCGCCCTGCACACGATTTCCGTTGCAAGTAAAAGTTCAGACGAAGATATTGTTCTATTTGGCGCGAGATTCCGTTTCTTAGAAAATCTCATGCAATACGCAATGATCCGAAGGATTTTGTTTAGACTTGAATGCTTGGTTAATAGCTGGATGACCATGCATTGGTCATGCTTGACGACAATCGCGGCTATTCTTCTTTGTTCGGGCATATCCTCCCTCGGATATGTAAAACTTCCCGATGGCCACTGATTTTCATGCAACTGTAGAAAGCTGGGCCCGTGCCACCACATGGATGATGCGATTAAATCATACGGATATATGCCTCTGGATAGTATGTCTGCAGGATTGTCGGAAGAGGAGACGTGACGCCACTGACTGATCTGAGTCAACCTTTGAATTTCTCCGACTCTATTTGCCACGAATACTGACCAGTTGCGCGAGGATGAAGCTATCCAATTCAATGCTATGGTGGAGTCCGACCAAAGAAATGCTTGCATGGGCGAGCCCAATGAGTCTTTCACCTTAGTTATGAGTTGAGCTAACAGAACCGCTGCCGATAGTTCAAGTCTTGGCAGTGACACGGCCTTGAGTGGTGCCACACGGGATTTTGAACACAGCAACTGTGAACGATATTCACTAGATTCGATGGTTGTGCGTACATATATACATGCGCCATATGCATTTTGACTTGCATCACAAAACCCGTGTAATTGCACGAGCTGTGAGTCTGGGTTGTATTTGACACCCCTAGGGATTTGTAGCTGATTTACAGCATGTAATTGAGACTTGAATTTTAGCCAGCTTGTATGTAATTCCTGCGGCACAGATTCATCCCAATGGATGCCGGCCTTCCACAGGTCTTGAAGAATGAGTTTGGCAATTACAATGACGGGTCCGAGGAGACCCAGAGGATCAAACAACCTGGAAACTTCAGAAAGAATAACGCGCTTAGATACTGCGCTGTTAGTGGAATCTGAATTGTATGCAAAGTGAAAAACATCCTTGACTTGATTCCATTGAATCCCTAGTATGCTAGAATCTGTCTCGTTATGAATGGTAATTACTTCCCCATCACGATCCTTTATATTTTTTAGGAGTTCTGGGCAATTCGACGCCCACTTACTGAGTTCGAAAGATCCTATTCTCAGCAATTCTATTAGTTCATCTCGGAGTACCTTAGCCTCGTGCAGAGTATCTGCTCCTGACAAAAAGTCATCTACGTAAAAACTGCGTTTCACCTCTCTAGAGCCTACCGGGTACTTAGCTGCGTATTGATCGGCATGATAAGTAAGGCACCTGCTGGCCAAGTATGAAAGCTGATGATGTTCCATACGTAACTGTCAATAGTTCGTATGTGTCGACGTTGTTAGCAGGGTCGTCCCGCCATAGTATCCTTTGCAGACGTGTTTGAGAAGGATCCACCAATACTTGTCTATACATTTTTATTACGTCGGCGCTAAAAACATAAATGAAGAAACAAAATCGGATCAGTATGGATGTTAGCTCTTGCTGCACTACTGGCCCTATCATAAGTGCATCATTTAAAGATAAGCCCTCGGTAGATTTGCATGAAGCGTCAAATACTACGCGGATCTTTGACGTTTGATTGTTAGATTTGAATACGCAATGATGCGGTAAATAAAAACATGGGGAACTCTCATCGGGCTGCAATTCTATTTTTTGCATGTGCCCTAACGATATGTACTCATTGATAATTTGTTTGTATTGCTCTTCTAGATCGGGCTGTCGTTTAAAACGTTTTTCGATGCCCTTCAAACGAGACATGGCAATGCTTCGAGAGTCTCCTAACTTGTCGATTAATTGATCTCTAATAGGAAGTTTGACCACGTATCTGCCTTGTGGATTTTGATGAATATTGCTGATAAAATGCTGCTCACAATAACTTTCCTCAGGAGTCAAATTATTGGAGTCATTTTTCGCGTCGTCTAATTGCCAGAACCGACTTAATTGATCATGTAACTGCTCGTTAGTTATAGATGCGTGTAGAGAATGTACCTTTGCGTGAATTGATTTTGAATCAAACATTCGTCCTGCTAGGATCCATCCAAACCTCGTTTTTTGTAATTTAGGATGCCTGTCCGATGATTGTATCTGTCCTACAAAGAGAAGATCCCAAAATATTTCGGCTCCTATTAGAATGTCGATATCAAAAGATACGTGAAATTGTGGATCAGCTAGCTTTATATTTCGTGGCAGTTCGAAATCCCTTCGCCTTAACGGTATGCCAGGGAGTTTTTCTGTAACTTGATCTGAGACAATACAATCGATTGTAGCACTGTATGAATCTATTCGCGATTGCAATTCGATTTTTACTGCTTGCGTGGCCGTCGTAACCGTTCCGTTCACGCCGGATATGGCTACGCTTAGTGATTTGGGAGTGAGGCCAAGCCTCGTCATGAATTTCCTTGATATGAAATTCGCCTGAGAACCACAATCCAACAGAATGCGACAAGGTCGAAGCACGCCCTGATAATCGCGCGCGTGCACCATGGCCATTGACAATATGACGTTAACACTTCCCCCTGCGACGTGTGTCGCTACTACGGCAGAGGATTCTGCGGAGTTGGAGTTGTCGCTGCCCTTTCCTGAAGAGCTAGAGGAATTAGGCGCTTGCTGCGAGGCGGTCGTCATATGAAGAAGCGTGTTATGCTTGGCTTGGCAGACCTTGCAACCTCCTGAAGTGCATTTGCTAGCGATGTGCGTGTTGGAACGCAGACAATTGAGGCAAATTTTGCGAGAACGAATTTCCGCGATCCTTTGAGGAACCTGAAGTACCAGAAAATTCTTACAGTAATAAATGGAATGCTCCCCTCGACAGTAGTTGCATTTTAACTTGACGGTAGCTGCGCATGCTGTTTGACTCTTGGCGTGTGCCTTGGCAGTGCCGTCCTTGACGTTCGCGACGTTGCTAGATTTGTTTGTGACTTCGAGCATCTGACACTGTCGTGTGATAAAATCGAAGAATTGTTTGGATGTTGGTAATTCGTTACCCGTAAGCGAAGATTGCCACTCGCGTAGTGTGAGGGGATCGAATTTCGAGCATAGCACGTGTATTAAAATATCGTCCCAATACGCGGTGGGTCGCTTTAGAGCTTGCAACGCGTGTATGTGCTTTGTCGCGCCATCCGCGATTTGCCTTAACTCGGTATAATTTTCCCTTGTCATGGAAGGTAATTCTATAATGGCCTTGATATGATTTTGCACGATTACCCGTTTGTTATCGTACCGCTCTTTGAGAAGATTCCACGCTGCATTGTAATTCGCGTCCGAAATCTCTAAAGAATTATTACGCTGCTCGCATCGCCTGTGAGAGAGGCCTTTAAATATTGAAACTTTTGTATGCAACTGAGAGACGCGTTTGTATGTATGACCGACGTGAATGTATCGAAGAACGGGAACCACTCGTCATATTTCCCCGAAAATGTCGGTAAATTCAATTTAGGTAAGCGCACGCGGGAAGTTGCGTCCGAGATTTCCGAAAGCGTTGCCGGCGAAACAGCGGCAGTGCGCGAGTGCGTGGGAGGGCTTAATAACTCCCTGATTTTAGCGGATACGGCATAAATGCATCCTCGAACGCAGCCCGATCGTTACCTTCGGCTTCTTCTAAAATTTCTATTTGCGTCTGTACAGTGTGGTATTCGGCCCAATAATGTTCTAGTTTTAATTTGCGCTCCTCAAGTTGAGCCGTTGTCGAGGTATTGATAGCAGTAATTGTCTCGACGTAATGTTTTATTCGCGTGCAGGATCCCTTGATCATAGCGCGTTGTCTTTTAAGTACCGCGAGATTTTCTGTATTAGACATTTTAAAACTAATTGAATTGAGACACACGTATTATTCGAATCTGGTTGGTATTCGTCACTAGATAGCTACCCTTACCTTACATTTATTTCTTATTGAAGAAAGAAACGCGTGAACGCTCGGGAATCCTTTGTCGGTCGTCCTGCGGAGAGGAGGGGGGGTGTCGTCGTCTCAATGCGCTGTTTGGCCCTCGATGCGTCGTTCGTCTTGTCGAATATGGCCGACAAGGATCGCCGTGACTGCTGGTTCGATTGCCCGTCCGTTGGAATTATGCCGTTGTCGCCAATGCGGGGCAATCGTTGTACTCGCCAACGAGTAAAATAGCCGCTCCTGACCTCTCCTTTGTTAGGACGTCTGCCGATGTATGGGAAATTCCGTAGGCCGATACCGTACGTGGTAACTCAATACGTTGGCCTTTTTTAATTTGGCTTGCGCCCTTTGTGTTATATCCTCTAGAAGTTTGTTGGACACTACCTTGACTGAGCTTGCGGAATTCCTTGGATGAATCCGGCTCGAAGGACCAAATGTACGGGTTGTACGTAAGTTGAATTATCGGGCGTGTGCCCGTCGTATGTTGTCGTGGAATGAGTGCTTCACGAATATACGACCGAGAATGTTCTCTCTCACTTGCTTATATTTATTGAAAAACTCAGAAGGTAGTGACCGCACTCGAGATACAAAGTATAAATGCTTTAATTGAAATACAGCGTATAATGGTATACAATAGCGGTTAAGTCGGCCGCACGTGTGTCTCTCGTTGTCTCTGAGACGATTCTGATTCGTATTAGCGGGGACCGCGCACGATGGGTCGCGATCGGCAACGGAAGCCTCCGAAGGCAACGACGAAGGACCTGACATATATATGTGCGGGTACCCGAATTCGAGCGGGTAGATTGACCGGGCGATACGCGTAAATAGTTTATTGAATACCAAACATAATGG